ATGTGAAGTAGATAGGATTCCTCTTTTCTGGAAAATACCCCTAACTTGAATGATTCCGCAAGAACGTTCTGTGGATATATTTTTTCTGTCACGTGGAGTCATTCGGGTTGTGGTGGATAGACACTGTAGCATTTATCAGTATCAAGTTACGAATCAACTGTTGTCAAGAAATTCTACAACTCTCTCGTCAATGCCGTTTTGCATAAGAACAGAGACAGGGTCGACCAGGGAGTTGCGTGCGTATGACATATTCCTTCACGACTTCAGAAATGTGACAACTGTGTAATATAACAAAGACAGCAAGGCTCTCTGCAAGCCAGGCCAACCATCATGGCTATGCCACAATTCAGATTGTTCAATTTCAGCTCCAGTTGATGGACAAATTCACATTAGAAAACGCCTGGAAACGTCTATTCACTACCCGAATTCCTTTATCCCACACGTTCTTGAGGATCTGTTCTTCGTGGATGGTGAGATCATTGATCCAGTGGACCACCTCCCGAAAGAGTTCTGCAGGCTGCAGTTGGTTCTCATTTGGATAACAGAGATTACTCACCTCCACCAAAGGATCGCCCGGGGAGGAAGGAGGGGGGGAATTCGGGATTGTGACGAGCGACATAAATATGAATTACCCGGAGAGAGGTGCGGGAGTGGAGGGCATTCCACAATGAGTGCGTCAACATCACGTTCTGGAACTTATAGGACGTTATACGGCCTCTGCCATCAATATTTTTGCACCTTGGAGCAGGAAGGCATCAGCGCAGAGTGTGCAGTTCTGCGGCAAACCTTTCAATCGGAAACCTGGTGGTAAGCGTCCGCCTATGGTCAGATTCATAATCTTCGTTGTACTAATTTCATACGGTCCTGTGACACCGTCTGATTGTCGAATGCAGAGGTATAGGCTTTCAGCCGCAACGGCTGACAGGTTAAGAAATCTGACCGTGGAAATAAAACAAAATTCAACCTTCACCTTGCGCAAGCTCTGTATTGGCCCAGGGAAAAACTTTTCAGCATTTGCACCTACCAAATTCCATAGTTTGAGGGACCACAGACGCGGGAACTTGGCCATGGTTATACTGAAGCCGTCTACCGTCGCATCATCGTGTTCTCCCCCACAGAGCTGAAGTTTTTCTAGTGATTGCATGGCTGGTATGTCACCATTCTCCCAGTTCCCAAGGTCCCAGAGTTTGATGACGCGGAACGCAGAATGGCCGTACGCCTTCAGTGGATGGCAAAGCCCAACGATTATGTGTGTCAATCAGCGCGCATTCTGCAGGAACCGGGTCAACAAGTCGTGGTATCCGAGTTTGCAAAGATCGCACTCGGTTATACTATAACTAACATCAGCACATGAAACCAAGGAAAAATCGGGCTACTCACATTAATGATCTCAGCGCTGACATCTCATTCAAAATGCGCAGGATAAAGCGCTAGGACGCTACCAGATAGACCCTCAAGCCTAAGTGTTCGTACTTGCACACTGTATAGAGGTATTTATTTATCTTCCCCCGGCTTATCCAATGGATGAATGGAATCATCCGCAGTTGCCTTCAGTATCACGTGACATGCCCCATTAACGCGTCGAACACGCTAATGGTAACTTTTGTCACGTCTCCCTTTCTGACATCCATCTCGGGAGGAATTACTCCGTATTCTTCAACTCCCCTTCAAAAGTTCGCCCCTTTTTCTCTATTTCCTATTATTGACGCCGATACTAGATATTTTACCGTATGAGTATACAAAATCATGTACCGCCTTGCAATTGATTCATAACTAGAACCTGTCCCGTCTTTCAAGCACTCTCAGAGCAGTCATTTTATCCTCTCCTCTCGTAGGAGATATGGTGGAACATACCAACTCGCAGAAGACACCAAATGCGCGTGTTCTAAATAAGTCGACCTCAAGCACCCAAAATATGAAGAGCCAAAAGTCCATCTTGGGTTTCTTCCAGAAATCCTCACCTGTAACGGTGGCCGCGTCTCCTGCTTACCGTAACAATACTACCCAGGATCTTGTGTCTTCCCCTTCCCAGAGAGCAGCTTCAGGGCAAAAAAATCACATCAATTCGAGATCGAATTTCGGGACTGCCATTTCGAAATCCCTGAAGATCGGAGAGGATAAAAATGTTGCTGGCGGTGGACAGAATCATACCCCTGTTCCAAGTAGTGATGATGTGGGGTATGATGAGGATGATTCCAAGATGGATGATTCTGCAGCGGTGGTAGAGGGTGAGGAGGCTAAGGAAATTGATGCGAGTTCGGTTGATAGCGGCTGTTTCCCGTCCTCCACTGCAACCACAAACGAAGTCGATGGCGTACTGATTGAGAATGGAGTGCCTGATCGAAGCTCGGTCACACCAGCACGACGGGTAAGAAGACTACGTGTTTCACCAGTTCAGTTCTATTATATGGGAACAATGTCTTAGGTCTGGTGGAATGCTTGCTCACGTTGTTGTTGAATTCTAGGCGAAAAAATCTGTCAAAAGCTATCTAGAGTCAGATGACGAGGATGTCATCCCAGCGAGTAGAAAATTCGGCGCAGGGGGGACCGCGAAAAGGAGGAAAACCGTTGCTTGTTCGGCTGATGAGGATGAATTCAATGATAACGATGGGTTTTCCGATGACGGTTAGCATACATAATTTGGTTTTCTTGGAAAGATTTTTCACTACTAATACTGTGTCCATGTAGACCTAGATGACTTTATTGTCCCAGATGATTCTGAGGATGAGGTGAAGCCATCCAAAAAGCGCAAGCGGCCCTCCAGTGCTTCTATCAAAGTATCGCCTTCGAAATCACCTCCCGTTCAAAATGAGGGAAGTGATCTTGAGCTTCCAGATGCATCTACTAGCTCTGCTCTGAAATGGACTTATGATCCTAATGATACAGAACCACCAAAGCAGCGACCTGCTCTCACCAAAACCACAGTACAAAGGGAGAATAAAAAAGCGAAGGCCCATATGAGTGAACCGGAGCACCGTTACCCGTGGCTTGCTAATATTACGGATATTGACCGAAACCCACCTGGACACCCTGACTACGATCCGCGGACCATTTATATTCCTCCTCTAGCATGGACTAAATTCTCACCGTTTGAGAAACAATACTGGGAAATTAAACAGAAATTTTGGGATACGGTCGTCTTTTTCAAGAAGGGCAAATTTTATGAACTCTACGAAAATGACGCTACTATCGGCCATCAACTCTTCGACCTCAAACTTACAGATCGTGTGAACATGCGCATGGTTGGCGTCCCGGAAATGAGCTTAGACCATTGGGCGAATCAGTTTGTGGCTAAAGGTTTCAAGATCGCGAGGGTGGATCAAAGCGAATCTGCTCTCGGTAAGGAAATGCGAGAGAAACAGGGTAAGACGGGTGGCAGCGTCGGGAAACAAGAAAAAATCATCAGGCGTGAATTGGCCTGTGTCCTTACTTCTGGCACTCTTGTGGATGGCGGAATGCTTCAAGATGACATGTCAACGTATTGTGTGGCCATTAAGGAGGCACTAGTCAATGACCTACCAGTATTTGGACTCGCTTTCGTCGACACTGCGACAGGCCAGTTCTATTTGGCAGAATTTATCGATGATGTCGATATGACCAAATTTGAGACCTTCGTTGCCCAAACGCGCCCACAGGAGTTACTTCTCGAGAAGTCTGTCATGTCCACCAAAGCTTTGCGGATTCTGAAAAATAACACTATCCCCACCACCCTCTGGAACTATTTGAAACCTGGAAAAGAGTTCTGGGAAGCAGATATTACTGTGCGGGAGCTCGATGCCAGTAATTATTTTGTCTCACTAGATGGGGATAACCTCTTGGCCTGGCCACAAGTCCTACGAGAAGCAAGGGACAAGGAATTTGCCATGTCAGCATTTGGAGCGCTAGTACAGTACTTGAGGATGCTCAAAATTGAACGAGATTTGATCACAATTGGAAACTTCACGTGGTACGATCCGATCAGAAAGGCCACCAGTCTCGTGCTTGATGGCCAAACCCTTATCAACCTTGAGGTGTTCGCCAACTCGTTCGATGGGGGCCAGGAGGGCACCCTCTTCCAACTGCTCAACCGATGCGTAACACCATTCGGCAAAAGGATGTTTAAGCAATGGGTCTGTCACCCCTTAGTGGATGCTAAGAAAATAAATGCACGCCTCGATGCTGTTGATGCTTTAAACGCAGACAACGCCATCCGTAACCAATTTTCTTCTCAGCTAACAAAAATGCCTGACCTTGAGAGACTTATTTCTCGTGTTCATGCTGGAAGCTGCAAAGCTCAGGATTTCCTCCGTGTGCTTGAAGGATTTGAGCAGATCGATTATACAATGGGTCTGCTAAAAGAAACTGGCTCCGGAGAGGGAGTTATTGGGCAACTCGTCTCCTCAATGCCCGACCTGAGTGGTCATTTGAAGTACTGGAAAACAGCGTTCGATCGTTCTAAGGCCAAGGATTCTGGTATTCTGGTTCCGGAAGCTGGGGTCGAGGAAGATTTTGATGTTTCTCATGACAAGATCACGGAAATAGAATATGAGTTGGACCAACTGCTTAAAAGAGTCAGGAAGCAATTGGGCTCTACTGCTATCGTTTACCGGGACAACGGGAAGGAGATCTATCAGCTTGAAGTGCCGATTAAAATTACAAGCGTGCCGAAAAGCTGGGATCAAATGTCAGCCACGAAGCAGGCAAAGCGTTTCTATTTCCCCGAGCTACGCAGTCTTATCCGCCAGCTTCAAGAAGCACAAGAAACTCATAGCCAAATTGTCAAGGAGGTGGCGGGCCGATTCTACGCCCGATTCGACGAGAATTATTCAACCTGGTTAGCAGCTGTTAAAGTGGTTGCACAACTCGATTGTCTGATAAGTTTAGCAAAAGCTTCCTCGGCTCTGGGACACCCTAGTTGTCGCCCTGTCTTCGTGGATGAGGAACGCAGTATTCTGGAGTTCCAAGAACTTCGACATCCATGTATGTTGCCAAACGTGGGCGACTTTATTCCCAATGACGTGAAACTGGGGGGAGAAGCTCCCAATATCAACTTGCTTACGGGCGCTAATGCTGCCGGCAAGTCCACCATATTGCGCATGGTTAGTGTTCCCTTCCCCTGATACCATCCCTTATTGTATTTCGCGAAGTTAAGGATACTGATTCTACATTCCACAGACTTGTACCGCTGTAATCATGGCACAAATCGGTTGTCACGTTCCCTGCCAATCTGCGCGTCTGACGCCTGTCGATCGAATAATGTCTCGTCTCGGTGCCAACGACAACATCTTCGCAGCACAATCCACTTTCTTCGTTGAACTCTCTGAGACCAAGAAGATCTTGTCTGAAGCTACACCTCGCTCTCTGGTTATTCTAGACGAGTTGGGACGGGGGACAAGTTCGTATGATGGCGTTGCTGTAGCCCAAGCTGTACTGCACCATGTTGCAACCCACATCGGAGCCTTGGGCTTCTTCGCAACGCATTACCATTCCCTCGCTGCTGAATTCGAGGGACATCCCGAAATTGCCCCACGACGAATGCGTATACATGTTGACGAAGAAGAACGACGTGTAACGTTCTTATACAAACTGGAAGAGGGTGTTGCGGAAGGAAGTTTCGGCATGCACTGCGCTTCAATGTGTGGTATTCCAAACAAGGTGGTTGAACGGGCAGAGATTGCTGCAAAACAATGGGAGCATACAAGCCGGTTGAAAGAGAGCCTTGAACGAAGAAAAGGTGGTGGCCTTGTTGGTTTGGGATGGTGGAGCGATGTTGCCTGGGTGTTGAATGATAGGGATGTTTCGAATGAAGGTGAGCGTGGCGGTGTTACTGAAAAGGGTATGGATGTTCTACTCCAGGCCATTGAGAGTTTGTAGGGAAATCCTGGTCCTAACTTCACATTTTTTACCTTCTATATATATATATATATAATTTTGAGCGTGTGATTTGGGTATTCCAAGCACTTGCTCTTATAGTTTTGCCCATTAATCTGCCGTCTAGAAGGGGTAGCTTTATCATCGTCTGTTCTTGCTTGTTGGCTCCGGCGTCTTGGTTGTATATACTCTGTCCCCTTTTAATGTTCGAGAATTATTTCTATCCTTATCTCTGTTATGTGCATGCTTCACTCGGCTTGGGCCATGTTATTGAGAGTCTTGCTGCTATCATAT